GTCTATGCGGCTGCTTACATGTACATTAACTGGTACAAAATTACATATCTGGGAGGCTTAGGAGAGATGTGATACGCTTTGCCCTGGACTGACCCCGTGGCGTCGCCTGACCTGATTCTGTATATCCTTTCCTGATCCCTACATTTTACAGAAGTACGTCTACATGTCTCTATTCATTGCCTTCAACACACACACATACTCGTGTGAGATCCACATAAAGCAAACCAAATGGGCAGCACATTAACAGACTGGCGGTGGTGAAGATCTAGCGCTGGGCGTGACGAATGGGAGAAGTTATAGGTCCTGTGGGATCGTTTTGTTGCTCTAAATTGAGCAATGCATAAGAAATGACACGGAACGAGGCGCCGGCGCGTGGAGGTAACGACCTCGCCGAATCTTCTCCCGGCTAAGGAGAGATTATGTAATGCGAGAGGGCAGCGGGGGTTGGGGAGGTCGCGAGGTGATAATAAATGGTCTCGGAGCTCGATTTGAGAAACATGACACCCATCTTATAGCGTCTATGATAGTATGTCTGTATGAGAGAGGAGGGAGACGTGGAATTGAAGAAGGGGATGTCAGATCAGTAGTTAAGTTAGTTGAAGAGCTAATCGTGATATGAAAGAGATGCTATGTACACGCTTTGGTTCTTTTTATGAAGCATTTCAGCCTCAAAGGATGGCAACTATATGCAACTTTAGGAGAAAGTGTATTCATGTGCCAAGTCGAATTTTTTTATGTTAAAACTTAAATGTTTTATAGACTCACTCTAAGTTGCTCTGTCTAGATTACGTCACGATACGTTTATTTCTGAGTCGGCCTGCTGACTCTAACGGCTTGAGTACGCCTGTCTGTATGATCTTCACTTTCTCTGTCAAAACCAGGTCTTTAAGCTATCTTAGATCTTCAGAGTGTAACTAAAACGTTTTGCTTTCATTTGAGAGTGATTCTCCATGGCCGGTCGTCACTGTTGACTGACTCAGAAAGATACGTTTCTCCCGCAGTTGCAGATAAAAGGTACTCCGGAATGGGTCCAGCCGAGCGGCACGCCGGTATCTCATCCACGCAGCTGGTGGGCGAACAGAAATCTGATTTTCTCTCTCTTGAAGTTTCCCCACAAACAAAGAAAGAGAAGTAGAAATGAATCATGAAAATGTTTTTTCTATCCAGACCTCCCCAAAGACGCTTCAAAGAGAGCGGGTGCTAAGGTGGGCAGAGGTACGGGGTTTTTCATAAAAGCTCCACGGAACAAGAGATTGCGAGACTCGATGTCTGGCCCCGGCGTGTATTATCGGGTTAGCATCACAGGAGAGTACACGCCTCCTGGATTGTAGCGGAGGTTTCTTGTGAACTTCTTATCACTGAAACATCGGAGCGCGAGTAAAGACGTGACGGTGTCAGAGGTTAATCTTAAGAAACTTCGCAAATGGAAGAAAGACTGAAGCGTTCGACGAGATATAGCATTCGTTTCCTCCAAAGTTTGATTTGCGTGGAGTTTGTACATGTTTGGTGCACTGTGTTGTAAGCTCCGGATGGATGTAATAGACATTATCTGAATGAAACTCGTTTCTCCATTCATATTCCGTCTCAGTGGGCGTTCCACAGAACTTGAAAAGATATTGTATGTTACGAACTTCTTGAATATAAGATAGCTCTTTGAATATGTCGTGGCCGCCACTAATTCTCCAACATATAGATTACTAACTTTGTGTGCCCAGAAGACCATTGTAGTAGGCATTTCGTCGGTCTCGTAAGGCCATGAAGAAGATACTTCTTCTATACCATGTACTTATTCTTTCTTTTTCGCTTAAAGGCGCGGTCACATTCCCCAACCCGGGGCCCGGCTGGGCAGTCGTTTGGAACGAAAATTATGATATAAGACAGCGAAACACAAAAAAAGTTTTAGAAAATTAACCATGAGCACTATTTTTGTGTACTCTTAATACAAATTGTCTATTTTTCGTTCACGCAAACAACCCGGCCGGGCCCCGGCTGGGGAATGTGACCATGCCCTTAGAGCGTCCGAGTTCTGATGCGGCGTAAGCCCTTCTTAGCTTCCTGTCTCCAAAGCGTTTTGTTTGTTGCATGGTGCCCCTTTTAATGCGGACGTACATTAAAGATTAAGCCACCTGTAATAAAAGAGAACCGTTCCTAACTACCTAGCTCAGCCGTTAACTGGTGTGAAACGGAAGTTTCGAAGAGACAGACAGACATATCCGTCTAGCCCATCATGCATCACGCCCTGACTATCATCCCAGACTGCATCGCGCCGATAACGCCTGATCTTACATTCTGGCTTCCGGCCAAATCCGGTCCAACTATTTTTATATTGTTTGGCATCGATTTCCGGTCAATCGGACGGTCACAGACTATCTACTGTACACACAGGTTTCAGAAGAAGCACCTTAGTCGCTAGTTTGAAGGAGGGGGATAGGGTCACCGGTGAGAAACGATATTTGATAAGAATCTTTACTGCTTGGCGGTGCTATAAAGATTCGTTTACTTCATTCATTCGTTGTGCTTACATGTAGTTAAAAAAAAGTTCTGCCTGTTTGTAAAGTAAAGGGTGTTATCGTCAGGAAACTGTTATGTATAGATGAGCTTTTAAGCTGCTTATTGTTATATGCTGCCTATTGTTTTAAGCTGCCTATTGTTAAATGTTGCAATGTGTTAAATCTTTCTGGATAATGTCTCCACTAGCGGTCTCCTTTTCCGGTCTGTTAGTGGCATTATCCTACCTACGTTTCTTCCACTATAGTTACAGCAGATACGAAGCATGTCTTTTTCGGCATGTTCCCATTGTCTTTCGTTTAAGCGCTCTTTCCCGCTGGAGTTTTTTTTTAAGTCTAAAGTAGCGTATTCGTTGCCGCGGATTCAGACCATACGTTACCGAGCGCCGCTCAGTCACTTCAATTAATTTCGCTATCTGGCACTGGCGGAGCTTAGACAGAACCAACGCCTCGCCCCGAAATGATGAATTGGGGATGAAATTATCGAAGCGGTACAGCAGTCGTGTGCTTTATCTCAAATCGTATTACACGATCACCCCTCGCCGGTTAATAGGTTTAAACAGATCCGCCAAGATGAGGAATTGATTTTTGCTTTCAACGAAATCAGAACCTTAAGAACGGTACAAACAAACGCGATATGTGCCTTATGGAGCGCTTAGTGCTGAATGACGGGATTATTTTTTCAAATAGTCAAACGGGTTTTTGGAAAGTACTGTCCTCAAGGTATTTCACGTGTCTAGAGATAAGAACAAAACTACTGACGGTCGTGCTTTCAATATAGAGCAGTGGGGCAAGTGAAAATGCCAGTGATTTATACTTTGATTGTGATCTCTTGAATTTCCTATCTACTTCTTTATCTGTGTTTAATTTGATGCCATGTGTCATGAGCAGCAAAAGTTTTATTTCGTCCACCTTTTTTTTTACTTTTCGTACTTTGTATTACGTACTACGAATTGGTTGCTACTACCCATATATACAATTTGCACCTATATCAGTATAGCCGGTATAACCGCCTTTCGGCGTAATGCTTAGGTCACAATTCAAGAAAGGGGCCCGCTCGGCGCGTGTTCGGCGTGTTTTTTGGCACTACCGAACGGGACCTGGACGGAGACCGGCGGGCTTCCCGACGGCTGCCGGCCTATTTTTGGCCCCGCGCGGTCGCCGAATCGATTTTAACTCAGAGTTAAAAACACTTCGGGCCCCGTTCGGCGAAATACGCCGAAGCGACGCCGTAACCTCACTGCCCGGGACCCGTCGGGCGGCCGAACAGGCACCTGCCTAAGATTATGACGTCACATGTGCTGATCAGTGCATCAGATGGTCAGGAAAAGGGGGTTATAGGGAGCATATATAAACTCCTGCCTCAGACTACGTCGCACAGTTCACCACGTGTGTGTTACATCGTGTACTTGTGTGTGTTACACCTTGTATTTGTGTGTCAGAATGTCGAAGCGCAAGGGAAAACAGCCGGCACGGCTCTCTTGCCAACTTCATAAAACAGATCATAACAGGAATAGAATGTGTCTGACATTATCTCTTGTTACATCATATGCCTTCGTAATAAAATGGAATCAGAAGTTATTGGCATTTATTTTCAGTCCAAATTTCAACAGAAGTAACGATATTCAGTGGTTTTATTGCTCAATAGCAAGGAGCTGCCACGGTACACTTCCTGCGTCACTGTTGAAGTACTTTCCAAAGTAGGCCCTCGGTTACTTTTGCGACGCACCAGTTCTGCCTGCCTCTCTTCTTCAGCTACCAATGCCAGAAGACCTACATGTAGGTTGTCACCAATCTCAATCTCAGACGGGCTTGTAAGTTGTTTGCAGGTTGCACTGAACGCTACATCGCCAACTTCAGTCTACTCTTTACTTGACGTGTACTCTTTACTTGAAGTGAACGGTAGCAGGCAGTGCAGCGCTTATATATGTACCTGCTCAAAAACACGAGAGGAGCCCGTCGGGATCCCGCCAGGAACCCGCCAGGGACCTGACAGCTGCCCGGCCGAACTGTAAGAGCTGGTCGGCACCCTATCACACGCCGCACGGGTCAGGACGGGCGACTGACCGGGCACCGGACGGGTCCCTGACAGAAACCGGCCGCAAAAGTTTATGAATATTAATGAGAGCCGCCGGCCGGAGCACAAGCAGGCCCCGACAGGAAGCCGTAAAGGAACATTTAATTGTGACCCTGACAGTACGGCGCACGCTCGGCGTCATGACGCCGGCCGGCGTCTACGCCGAGGACATGCCGAACGGGCGCCGTTTCAAATGTGACCTAAGCATAACACACCAGCTTCGCAGGCACGCGGCGCGGCGGCAGCTGCATATATTACAACGAACGATCGCGACCTGTTACACCCAGCCTAACTGTGAACGTTGCTAGCATGCTCATAGTTATGTATTGAACTGTAATGATATTACAATGGCAGGACTCTGTGTCTCTCACAGCGAAAGTAGCAGATAAGCTAACAGTTTCCTGAAATGTCGTTGCCGTAGGTTATCCTGGCGGGTCTGTTCGACATGCACCGGGCGGACCCCGAGGGCCGGGCGGGCCCGTGTAGCGAGCTGTCCCCCGAGGGCGTGGAGAGCCTCGAGGCCATGCTGTTCGCCGTGGAGAACGTCAACGCCGGCGGGCTCGTGCCCGGAGTCACCTTCGGTGAGTACATCTTCACAACTCTTTAGACTAGCAGTCAATGGCTACAGATTGTACTGCCTAGGAGCAACTTTTTACGGTGTTGCTCAATGCGAAGCCAAATGACCACTTCTAGGCATTTATCTAGGTAAAGACGCATGACTATGCCAAAAGATGGCGGTGAGTGTTAAGTAAAAAAATAGCTAAAAAAAAGTCTCAGGTTGAAATAGATGCAGGGTTTCAAATTTTAGATGTCAAAGAAGACCTTGACCCTCTAGCTAACATGGCGGCTTGTGCATACGCCGTAGTCATGCGATGGCTGACACCATGACAGGACCATGTACTATCTAAGGGTGCAAGATGAGAGCATTAAGAGATTATGGAAGACAGGAACTCTTAGAGAGAGAAAGTAAGTCACAGTAGTGTGGGCTAGCCAGAAGATGACCGAGATGTACTGAATCCATTTCCAGGCGTGCAGGGTTACGACACGTGCGGCCGGGCGGACATCGCCGTGAAGCGGTGCGTGGACTTCCTGTCGTCTGTCGGCATGGACAACATCGACCCTGATGACTGCGAGAGCAAGGAGAAGATAGTGCTCGGTTCGTACACGTAGATTCGTCTCTGAACTGTAATCTTAATGTTCAATTTACAATTAACAAAATTAACAAATATTATCGTAGTCTGTAATGCTGTTTTTGTTCAAAAGATATTGATTGTCATCAGAATAAATCTTAGTATGACGCTTTCTTCGGCGGGAGGGGGGGGGCTTAAGCCTTTGGTCCCATGTATGGGGACCCCTGCATGTTAAGAACCCAACACACTTATCGGGAAGGGCAGGGGTCATCGGATGTGCTCTGTCGAAAACCTGAGCAGTGCATATTGCACTACTGTAATTGAAAGAAAAACACAAAAACCTAAAGAATCGTGAATCTATGAATCTAAGACAGCATTTACCATAACAACACTGCTGAGGTTTTGTGCTTCGCATGTAGGGCCGTCCAGAGAATCTCCTCAGTTTGCGACCGTTCTACGACGATCATACGACGATCGTACGACGAACGTGGCTTACGTTTATATTCTGTTCCTCTCGGCAGGTGTTGTGGGTCCCAACCTGGACAGGGAGGCTGCGGAGGTGGCGCGCGTTCTCCGCGCGGTGCGGCTGCCTCAGATCAGCCCCTCCGGTTCCAGGCTGTCGGCGTTCGAGAGGGACGGGCACTCCTTCTTCCTGCAGTCAGCACCGTCCGCGGGGTCAGCCGCACAGGTAAGAAAAAAAACCTTTTCTCCAACTTTAGGTGTTGTTAACCCAGAATCAACTTTTTTTTGGAGGGGGGAGGCACTTTTCATTCAGTGATATAAAGAACACAGTTCTCGGATAAAAGAGACGTTTGTGCTATTTCAGAGTGCCTGATGCAGTATCTTTAGGAAAAAAATTTCACCAGTCATTCGTATGGTATGGGCTGAATCTTAGAATGGTCTTTTACTTGCTCCCAAAGGCTTTTCGTAGTGCATAGAACTTTTAATGACTTACATTGTGTGTTTTCTGTCACGATAATTGAAAGACAAGTCTCTCAGGAAGCTTGGATTGACAAGATATATTTTCATTTCGATTCCAGGGCGTCCTCCAGCTCGTTCAGAAGCTTGGATGGACGTACGTGTCGCTGGTGTCGTCGGACGACAGTTTCGGCAACCAAGGCTCGCGGGCGTTCCGCGTGGCGGCAGAAGAGGCCGGCGTGTGCATCGCCGTCTCCCAGAGGGTTCAGAACGACTCCACGGAAAACCTGCGGCGCACGTTCGACGAAAAGGTGATCGACCGTCTCCTGAACAAAGCCGAAGACGGCGCCAGGGGCGTGGTGGTCTTCGCGACAGAGAACGTGCTGGACGCCCTGTTTTACGCGGCGGCGAGGAAAGGCGCGCGGCGGCTGCAGTGGATCGTCACGGGGACGCCGCCGGAGAAGATCCGGGCCGCCGAGTTGTTCTCAGCCGCTCGGGGGCTCATCGTGGTCTCGCCGTCCCCGGACATAGCGCAGATCGACGTCTTCAAGCACAGCTTCGTGAACTTAGACCCGTACAGCAGGCAGGAGAACCCGTGGTTCCAGGAGTACTTCATGGAGACCAATCAGTGCGCGCTGGACATGTTCTCTGACGAGTTAAGGTTCACGAAGTTCTCGGGCTACGATCTGTGCGACAGGAATTCCAAACGGGTGATGGAGAGCACGCTAAAGGGCAGGGACACTGCCACTCTGGACCACATATCCTTCACCATAGACGCTGTCTATGCGTACGCCTTCGCGCTGAAGAAAGCGCACGAGAAGCGCTGCGGAGGAGCGCCCGGCATCTGTAACGAGCTGCTCGAGTTTTCACAGAGAAAGATGTTCCAGTTCCTGAAAGCCGTGAACTTCACGAACTTGGGCGGGAAGAAAATCCAGTTCGACGGTCTCGGCAGCGCGATTGGGAAGTTCAGCATCTTCAACTACAGACCGACTGACATGTCCAACATCCGGGCCAGCACCTTTCAGTTTGACGTGGTAAATATTGTGTTAACCTCTCTCGCGCTAAAAAGAGCCAATAGGTAAACGTAATGATATTTTGGACACAGCCTTTTCAGTAAATAGGAGAGTGCATTACGCCTCTCCCCTGGACATGGTGTTTTATTAGTATTTTCGTGTATGTTTTGCAAAAGATGAATAGATTGACATGTACCGTGCATATTGTCACGTTTATCAAATAGTAGGTTTATACTACACAACAAGTTAGCGTGCTACTTGAAGTTCTAAATCCTGACTTAATTTGTCGTTTTACCCCTGCTCCAGGTGGGTACCTACATGGATGACCGGTTGAACCTCTCAGGAGAGGTATCAGACCTTTTCATGAACACCGACGACGGCCAGTCGGTTAGCTCGGCGTGTGAGGAGTCCTGTCAGGGCTGCCAGGTGCAGTCCAAGAACGCCAAGAACGACACCACCACGGACGGCTACGCCAAGCCCGAAAAAGCCAAGATGGTCATCCCAGCCCTCATCCCGATCCACGAGAGGGGCCCGACTCCCTTCACCTGCGGGACTATCGACGAGAGCGGGGTGACGCAGGCAGAGGCGTTTCTCTACGCCTTGAACAAGATAAACAAAGACGGCGCCATCTTGCCGTCGGTTAAGCTGGAGGCAGTGATCATAGACACGTGCCAGAGCCCGCTGAAGGCCGCCCGGGACGTGGCGAACTATCACAGCAGCAGGGACGGGATGTCCGATCCCATGGTCGGGTACGTCAGCGGCGGGAGCCCCGATATTGTCGGCGACGTCGGGAACGTGCTGGACCAGTTTCAGATCCCGCTGATCAGCACGGGGCCCGTGGACAACATGGGGAAGTACAACGTGTTGAGCATGTCTCCCGCGGAGGACACTCAGATCAAGGGACTGGTGAGCGTGTTAGACAAGCTTGGGTGGGCGTACGTGTCCGTGGTTGCGTCCGACCAGCACTACTGGAGGAAGAAGGCCAAAGTGTTCGAAGAAATGGCGAACAAGTTCGGCATCTGCATCGCGGAGTTCTTGATCCTGTCCCGCGGGAGCTCGCTCGCGCAGTTCGACTACGCCGTCAAGGTTCTCGCCAAGAGGGCCGGCGCGCGAGCCGTCATCGTCTTCACGGATAGGGACCACACCTGGGAGGTCGTCCGCGCCGCCAAACGACTCAACCTCGCCGGGGACTTCGTCTGGGTCGGCGGCCGGTCCATAGAAGACCTCGCGTCGCGGTGGACGGAATCGGGCATCCGAAACGCCATCGTGGTCACCCCACAGAAGGTCCAGACCCCCGGTTTCCAATCACACTACGAGAACTTGAATCCGAAAAACAACCGGAAGAACCCATGGTTTAAAGAGTTCTGGGAAAGCCGCTTCCAGTGCTTCGTCGACGACGCAGCCGAGCACCAGATGTGCTCGGGACACGAGAAGCTGGCGGGCACATACAAGGAGGACTCGGTTCCCTGGTACACCATCACCGCCGTCACCGCTCTGGCACACGGTCTTCAGAACGCGATCAAAGGAGTCTGCGGGGCGACGAAGACCATGTGCCCGCAGTGGACCAACCTGGTGGGCCGGGGGCAGATGGTGTACCACACCACGCGGAACCTCACGGCCGTCAAGACCGAGCAGGGAGAGTTCTTCCGATTCCGGTCGGACGGGACCGGTGACGTGGGGCTGGACATCATGAACCTGCAGAAAGTCAGGAGCAACACCAACAAGTTGGTGAAGGTAAGGTGCTGTTGAACAGACGTTAGTGTAGGGCTAAAGTAACACCTACTGACAGGCATACGTTTAACAGCAACACCAAAGCAATTTTCAATTTCTTTGCACTTCTTGAATGTCGAAATCTAAGCTCCACCCCCACCCCCAGTTCTAGCCCGTCATCTAGGAGTCTTGAGTTTTTTTCCGTATTTTGTACCTACTACAGTAGATACAATGAAATGTATGCATGTATGTGCGACTGACGTACGCATGCACAACTTTCACCTCAGTGAACATGTAATCATTGAAATTGTTCGTAATGTTAGTTTCACTATCAACGTCCATGGTATTGTTCTTTCCTCCCGTACTCTATCACGTGTTAGTCTCAGCTAAGTGGGACCCACATTATTTCACTTGGATGTGTCTCCATCTCGTACACGGTCGTCCCTGACAGTACATGTAATTGTATACAGCCCCTACAGCACATTTATGACAGAGAGTCCCACTCAGTACACTATATCGTCCCTGGTGGCACATTTCCCCTACAACACGGAAGGCACGACGCACGCCTGATCAATTTGCTGTGATTTCCGGAACGCCCATAAAAGACTGCCCTTTTCAGACACGCGGGTTCTGGAAGCACCGAGGGATCTCCCTTGACGCGAATTCTGTCTCCTTGTCACCGGGGTACCGGCTTAGTCAAGATCGGGCGCAGCATGCGTGGAACAAAACTGTCAGAAACAATTGGATATGCCGTCTGTCTAGAATGAAAAGTACTCTATCTCGGTTTCATTCTTGTGACTTTGTCGCAAAAGGAAGCTCACATTGAACACTGAAGATTAGCAGATAACCACGAAGAGCAAGCAATGTAACTAATATAACTCGCAGGCAATAGTTAATGGAAAATTTAGACTATCTTCCATGCGCATTCTTGACCGTTTGGTGGTTTATTAGTAGTGGGTTATCACTTCTGTACTTCTCTCCAGAACGTACCGTGAAAAATCTGGGTTTCGCACAGGCGTAGTACGGTCTGCCGACCTCGACGTGCCTCTCCTTGGTGCTGAATTCCCGGCATACGGACGTAAAGCCATCCCTCTGGTTCCCCCTGTTTTAGGCTTTTCAAAAATGATTGATGTTCGGTTCCACAGCTCTTGAACTCTTACAGAATCAATACCAACACGAAATAAAAGGTATCTCCTTCCCTAATTGGTCTCTAAATCGACTAGACATCCTAATCCCGCCTCGCCGGGTCGTGAAGGGTCAAGTTGTGGGGTATTGATTTACCTACAAACACGGTGCGAAGAATTGGCGACGGGGCGATTCTCAAGTGTCCCGCTGACATCACCTTATCGCTTGAATCAGTCACCGTCTTCTTTCCACAGCACCAAGGTGTCAGGTCCTATATTTCTTTAAGGGCAAGACATCCCCCAGCTCCTCCCGTGTAGATCTTTATCGGTCTCTGGAGAAACTAAGGAGAATCAAAGGCGACAAAGACGTGGAAGGCTCGATCCTAGCAGGACGTCAAGCGTCTTCCTCTAAGCTTGAAATCAATCACTTCGAGTGGCAGGGATTTCACCCGAAAAGTTCGATTGCTGCGAAAAGTTTTTTTTTTTGCACTTCGATTGGGTCCAATTGTCGTGATGGTCGCTGGATTTGTGTGCGCACTGGTAACTCGATTAGGTCATTTCCAAGTTCCAACGTGGAATGAATTGGGTCTCGCTAACTACCTTCCCAATATAATGGGACCACAAGGATGGGTGCACCTTGATAATAGAGAGGATGCGGGATTTAGTGTTATTTTGATACCCTGAATTTTGCGTTGCATTTTCGGACGAATCTCTGCCAAATACATGCCTCCAGAAAATTGATCGATCTGCACAGAATGGATTGTTTATGTTAAGGGTCAAAAGACTACCCCCGTCGCTTCTCTCTTTTTTCTAACATACCGTTTTATTTCCCGCCCACAGGTCGGGGAATGGCACCACACACTCAAACTGCAGCCGGAGGACCTGAAGTTTTACCGCGGCAACGGAATCCAGCTGGCTCAGCCAATCAAATCCTTCTGCGACCAGGTCAGACTTTGATTGACAGCTGCTTTCTATGACTTGTTCCGTTTTACATTCTGTACACAAACACAACCGCCTCCTTGTTATAAAGTTCAGTTGATATTATGCTGATATTATGATGTTTGTATGAGGCAAGCTACAACGGGGTATTAAAAAAAAGCCTCTCCCTAACGTGTACAGATCTACTACTAAATCACCTTACAGAATAGTGTCGGAAGGTTTTATGGGGTATTCAGGGTTTCAAAAGCTATAGGTCATTAGAATTATTGCATTACTGCTTTTAAGGTCTTGTACCGCTCCTTTCGTAATGCCATTACCAGCAGAGCTCTAACGCGCCGATTGAGCTAAATGTCCCATTACACGTGGGAAAAGTCAGGTGTAAAGTGAACTTTGTGGTCGATTTTAATCTTCCAAGGTCAATATGGACTTGTTGATCTCCCAAGTACGTTAGACCGTTAAGTTGTTTGTCAGAAGGACAGTAAAGGCAGGCCAAATGGGAGGTAATGTTGTGATGCGAATTCCCTGTACATTTCGTGGTTATGTCGTCGTGAGGTAAGAGGATAAACCAAACATGAAATACTTAGTTTGAAATGATACTAGTATGCATCTCAGGTCTTTCCTATTTGGCAAAGCCAAAGACTAGCATGAGCGAATTATCATGCAACAGGCAAGCACTAAACAATGTTGTGATGCGAATTCCCTGTACATTTCGTGGTTATTATGTCGTCGTGAGGCAAGAGGATAAACCAAACATGAAATGCTTGTTTGAAATAATATGCATCTCAGGTCTTTCTCATTTGGCAAGGCCAAAGACTAGCATGACCGAATTCTCATACAACAGGCAAGCACTAAACAAGAGATGAAAAGTGTCATACAAAGATGTATCCTTTGTGCCACAGGTCTGCCAAGAATGTTTGACCCAAAACCTGACCGGACGTTTCACCGGGGAGCCGCCAGAAGCCAACCCGTTCGAAAACGTCAAGACGATGTGGGGTGTGTCGGCCATGATCATCTCAGCGCTTGGTACGGTCCTGGTCCTCGCCATCTACTTTAAGGCGCAACTGCAGAAGCCCTTCCACAACAACATCGCCTGGTCCCTGGGCCATATCCTGCTCCTGGGCATCTTCATGCTGTACCTGACGAGCTTCGTCTACGTGCTGGCCCCGACTGCGACCATCTGCGGGATTCGGAGGTTCGCGCTCGGGGTGAGCTACGTGGTCTGCCTGTCTGCTCTTCTCTCGCACGCCATCTACGCCTGGATCCGCGGCGTGCGAAAGGAAGAGTCGCCGTGCGAACTCGGGATCGAGAAGAAGATGCTCCTCCTGCTGGTGGCCCTCCTGGTGCTGGTGCAGGTGCTGCTGAACATGGAGTGGTTGCTGGCTGATCCTCCCAACGCCACTATCCTCACGCAGGGGGAGTCCGCCACGTGGGTCTGTAACGCGCTCACGCACGATCACCACCTCATCTCCTTCATCGTCTCCCTCCTGTACGCCATGGTCCTCGTCCTGCTCACCACCCTGGCCACCACCAAGGCGTGGCTGGTCAACAGGAGCAGGGACACCCTCTGTGCGTGCGTGGCGGCCATCTCAGCCATCCCCAGCTGGCTCCTGTGGCTGGCCATCTACACCAAAGCCGACATCCACACCAGGGACATTGTCATCTGCTACAGCGCGTCCTTCAACGCGACCCTGTATCTCATGGTCATCTTCCTGCCCAAGCTGAAGGTGATCCAGAGCCACTGTTGCAAGAGTCAGAAGGAGAACGGCGCGGTGGACATCAGGAGGTACCGGGAAACCCTGTGGATATCTGCCAACGGTCACGTCAACGGGTTCGCGCCTAAAGGTACGAGACAAGCAAGTAGGTATCCATTCTTCTGTACCGTAGATGTCGTGGATTGTTGTAGTTACCCACATAGTTGTACTGTCACGTGCACAAGCGTTCGACATGCACAAGCGTACTGTCACATGCACAAGCCAATGATAGATATCGCAGTTGTTACGTAAATCTTTACTTTGTACTTATTGAACGTGTTGTGCCGTCTTTCTTGTGTATGTATCGAAAATTAGTACATGTAAAATTTTGACCATGTAATTCCTTTGTTTTCAAAGGCAGTTTTCAATATTAGCTATAGAAATAGGTAAATGTATGTCAATTACTTCGCCAAGCTAAAGCCCTTCAACAGCACACGCTATTTTGGAATAATACGCAATGAAATCTGACACTAATGTGAAAATGATGTTTTGTTCTCAACACACAAATACACACTTGTCCTTCTGTGGATGTTTTGTACTTTATGGAGTAGTTTGCTTTTTCACTGATCTTTGATCTTTTCACTGGTTTTCTGCAGGAGACACAGACAACAGTGACTACGACTGTCCAGACCCGGAGGATGGAAAGCTATAGACAAGATACAACATTAAGCCCTAAACCGTGCCACAACAAGATTTTCAACACTCCGATGAATCAACTGGATGGAAGCTACTCTGTCTACTGAGGACTGAACGCCTGGTTGTGTTGACCTTGGTTTGCCAACAATCATCATGAAAATACCACGAACGGATGGACATCTAATTTCATATACAGCGAACTTGTACATACTTAACGTGGAGCGGTCTCCAAGTGTATCTTATAGCCGAGAACTATGCATATATTGGAAGAAGACACTGGTGACAAGTCCGCTTTGGACTCATTGAAGAGCGCAGTCTTTTTACCCTGTACATAGAAGAACCGGACCGCGGGTATTTGTGTACAGTCTTTTGGAGATGTTTGAAGAATCGTACTTTGTAGAGTTTGTGTTGCAGTGGTTTGGAAATTGCCGTATTTTGACTGAAGGCCGTAGGGACAACGCAGAGACATTTCAAAGATTGAAGTAGAGCGTATGACGTCAACTCATGATTCCACCTGGTTCCGAGAAAACCGGTGTTATCGCGGCCTTCGAATTCTCAAGAATGCCTGGAGCACGTTGATATCTTAAAGTGTGCATATCTCTGGAATTACTAAAGGTACATCTCTGTAAATACACATTTTGTAAAATAAGTGTGGTGGCCCTAGGGTGCCCGGTGGAATTATAAGAGTTGACGTTGCGTTTCTGGCGGAGCTATACTTGGCGGGGCCAGGCGGGGAAGGCGGATCAGCACCACGGCGGGACGGGCGCCGAGTCACCGCAGGGCACAGATGCCTGTCTCCCTGGAGCCCGCGGGCACGGTGCTGCTGAGTTATGAAGTCCCCGTTTATGTGTTAGGTCACGTCAAGTTTCTTTTATGGATGACATCCTTTCACAGAACCTGAGATGTACATGTACATCCATTGGAAAACAAATGAAAGCATAAAAAGCCTGTTGAGATCACAAATGCAAGATTCTGTGGCTGCATTTAGCGTAAGTGTCGAATCCTATAAGAGCACAACTTTGGTGCCAAACCGCGGCCGCCAACTTTATTTTTGATAGCAAGATGAGTTCCAAGGTAAAACCGCGGAGGGGGGAAGGGAGAGGTATACAAAAATGTTCTACAAGCTGAAAATTGCCCACATTCTGTAGTAACATACATAATTTTTGAACGCAATGGAAGTGAATAACGACTTTATTTTAGACAAGGTCTCCTTATTTTTATCTGTATTTCGACTTTCCTTTGGAATTCAATTCAATGGCATGTACTATACCGAACGGACAAGGGAACGATTAGGAACCAAAAGGTCATTTTTAGGCAAAAAAAAGTAACAACAACGAAAACTAATGCGCGCGCGGGGATACGTCATCTTTAAACTTTACTTGACATGGCCTTGCGCAGTCCTGGGGGAAATCTCGGCATAAGCCGGGGCTGCTCCGCGTGATAACCGCGAACTCAGAGTTATATATGAGACGGATGGGCTGAACCTGCACGGAGTGAGAACCACCTCGGGCTGCAATTACGTCTACAAGACACGAGTCTGAAGTTTTGTAATAATCCGGAGACTGTAATGATGCCTTGAGATCACGCCAAGTTAACTTGAAATGTTTGACAACAGAACTTCTTTCACGTGTACGATTTTGCGTGTTTCATTGAACAGAATCTGAAGTGTAGATATATATATACTATGAGCCGCGGATATGCATATCTTGTATTCTTGAACCGACATTGTCGCTGTAGAAACGTAACTTGATGAATCTTTACCATAAACTTATGAAGATCGCGATGTCCGTATAAAGAGGACTCAATAATGTCAATCGAATTATCTATATCTATACTTGATTTGACAAGCAATCGAAATATCTGCATGTATATTTCTTGAGACGATGTATTGGATTGTTTGCAGTGGGGGTCTTCACATAAAGAATTCGTAATGCCACTTGTGTCTCTGTCTCTCTGTGTATGTGCGTGGCGTGAATGGGGTATGTGTGTGCTACGTACAAAGTTTCAGGTATGAAATTCTATTGGACAGGCGGACCTCACTTAGATATGTACTAGTATGCAAAGATCTATGTAGGTTTGAGTTATGAAAGTTATAATTAAGATATTATTAATGATTTATCTTAAATTACACCAGTACCTCCGCTTCCAGCAGTTTTAAGATCTTTGTATGTAACCGTTACAGTGTAGCTGTTACAATACAGGATTGTAAAATGTAAAGCGGATTATAAAACCCGACAGCCAGCATATTGGATAACCAGCAAAATTTACCACTCAAATTTACGTCTCCGATTCTCTACGCACGGCGTGTTGCAAAGACCTTAAGATACCTGTCGTATTTTAAACCACTCCAACAAGATGGCGATAAGAATACGCTAGGTATCACAGAGGTCACACCCCCAGGCGTACAGAGCGCGTGCTGATGTCGGGATGAGTGTGGAACCCGAACCCCGCAACACTCCTAGCTACTGGCCCAGGGCTCGCCTCCGAAATTGCCTGGCTCCTGTACTGAAGGTGTTTCACTTCTGGCACCGCGAAGTCAGCTAATAAAGCCCGCGGCACGCACGCAGCGTACAGAGAGGTGTGAAGCCGCCTTGAGGTAATGGATCTTCCAAGGGCGTGAGATGACGTCAGAGCCAGGAAAGGGCAGGTTTGATAAAAGGCACGCACGTCGGGCGGACAATGCAAAATGAAGAGCAACGCAGACGCAGGGCAGGTAGTTGACAATATGAATACTAGTATTATCAACAGTAAAAGCCAAATTGACCTTTCTTTTTAGTCGTTTTTATTTCCCTCACTGACCCTAAAAGCTGCTATCACAAATGTTATGTAACGCGGTTCTAAAATTCAAAACGGGTTCTTAAGTTTGATTTGAGGCTTAAAATGCAACTTTCTTCACTCATTTTCCCCCCAAAATGGCCAAGGTTCGATGTCTTGTGTAGAGACCTACCAGCTAGTTGGTGTAGAAATAGAAATATCGGTGTTTTGTAATATGTTTGGGGAAGAAAAGGAAGAAACTGAGCAAAAACAATGTTTATTTCTGCGAAGGTAAACATAAAAATTCACCATAGAAAAAAAGCACTTTGAATAAAAGCTTCCAGGTTAGTAATTGCAGCGATTTGTACACTTCGTAAAATATGACATCAGTCAAAACAGTGTACTACTTTGCATATGACAGTATCCTATACCGTATTTTTACGGTTTATACCGTATTTTTGTTCTTCATAATTTGTATTACACCATCACCCTCCCTGGCGTGCATAAAAATATTATGATATAATAATATTTGAATAAAATACAAGTAATTCAAATTCAAAGTTCCGTGTCACTAACACAGTCAGAAATTTTGATGGCAAAGTGATGAAATGTAAAAGTAACTGTTGTTACCTGTATCAAGAGAAGGGTCACAAGCACCTTGGAACCTATTAATACTGTCCATCTCAGAGACATGTCTCATTCTGGATATCTCATGACACATAAAACTTCATTTTCTTGGATTGACAAACACAAATAAAACTAGAAGGTAACATTTGCAAAGTAAATACATAATGTTTACCTTCACATATGGTCTGCTCTGTTACTCAAACACATTCATATACATGTATATTTATATGGTGACAGGTGTCTAAATCCCTCCTGCTATAAAATTGCAACATGATGTAATCCAACACTAGTTACCATGGTGACAGATGTCTGGTTCAGGTCATTGACCTTATTCGTTTGGAGAAGAAGAGGAAGAAGAAACGGAGCAAAAACAATATGTTTTCCTTCTGCCAAGGTAAACATAATAACATTACATCAACTTGTCTCCATACAGGCACATAAAGTGCATGGCTACAAATATATAAGGAAATGTTCTACCATATTATAGATTTTGTCATAAAAGACATCACTGCATGCATACATGTATGTCTTTTTGTCATCTTCTTTTACAATACTGCAAAGGTGTTTGTAACTCTGCTGCTCAAAACAGTGCCGGTCTTAAACATAGTTAGATATCGTATCCTTAAGTTATTTATTTACTGACAGTCTAGTACACATTGTAAGGTCTTTGGCCCTCAAACACTTGTGTTGTTCCCTTTGTCCGAGGTATTGTTGTTTTCTAATAAATGTTTCAAATCGTGTATTTATTGGTTGACAGTACGTGTTTGTATGTGTAAACTACTGACAGTCATTGTCTTCAAGGCAACACAATGAGACTACGTTCGACACTAGGTAATTACAATGTACATGTATATAGTTATTGCTAATCACTTTCGTGTTGCCTTCAAAGTTATAGATCTAGATGTAGATGAGATCTACAGTACTTTCACTCACAAGTCAAGTCTCCCTACAAACCATTTCACTTTTCACTCCACATACGTGTATCCCATCACCATATAACCCGCTAAGACCACAACACAAGACTTAGTACCACTCCTTGTACAAAACACAGTCCACTATCCCTACCACCTGCCTGCATTTCACTTTTTCCATAACACAAATTCACCATCTTTCACAATCCTAATGTGCAGCATACTAACTTATTTTTCTCCTCCATTCTAGGGATATAGTAAAAACTTCTACCAGTACCCATATGATAGAAAGGGAAGCCTTCCATATCTTTCTATAGCTTTCTTCTTCCTCTACATCTGATCCTCTTACTAGTAGGTCTCGTCATCTACATCATCAGCCCTCTCCTGTGACATTTGGTTGGATTCTTTTGCTTCCATTGCTGTGCTTGTCTCTCCTTCCTCCTCTTGATCTCCTGTCTGAGGTATAGATGCCATCACATCTTACACAGGCAACAGTGGCTCTGTAATCTCTGCATGTTCTTCATCCTCTTTAGACTTTTGGTCTTTTCTTTCTTCTTCTTGCCTCTGAGTCACCTGTGATGTGGCCTCTAGGTCTGACTTACTCTTTCTTGCTTTCTGAGTTTCCTCTTTCCCTTGCTGTATCACTCCCTCTGCTTTCTCATCTGTTTGTTCCTGATTGTCGTCAGTATTTGGTGTTGGTGACGCTTCCCCCTCTTTTCCCTGTTCTATCCCTCCTCCATGCCTCTCAATGCCAGTGATGTTTTCTTCCTGCTTGTCCTCAGTGTTTGTGGTTGTTTCTGCGTCGACCTGGTCGAGGATGTCAGCCTCGCTGGCAGTGTCTGCGCTGCTGGTGGAGGTGCTGCTACTGCTGCTGCTGCTGGAGCCACGGCGCTTGTCAAATGTCAGGGCGTCCACGGCCTCTTCCAGTTTTGGAGGTTTTGTGATCTATTTGGGGCAAAAGTCAACAAAACTGGTGAATGAAAGACATTGTAACTTCATAACCTCAAAGGTTTGGGCATTTATGGTTTCTTGCTTTCTTGTGCACATGTGGACGTTTTGGGATCTGTTAGCAGCAAAGGAACAAGACTACAGAGCTAGAAAGATCCCAAAGACAGACCTCAGAGGCAATGGATTGGGAAACCTAAGAGCTATCAAGTGGATTATCAGGGGCAAGAACCAGATCAGCAAAATTGGTGGATGGATGGCGTTCACAACTTGTAAATGTCATCATACACTTGCAAAAAAATACACTTAAACTATGGCACATAACCTCCAGTGAGAGCATCAATGGCTTCTTTCAATTTCGTAGGTTTTGTGATCTATTAAAAGTCAAAAATTAAATCAACGAAATCGTTGAATGGATGGCATTGAAAATTGAGAAGTCATAATGCACTTTATGTATCATGCATACATTGTAACTTTGAAGGAGTAGGTAACAGACAAGAAGGATGATTGAAATCAATAAAAGCCATTTTAGTAGTTATTGATTCATGTTTAGTGAATGACGTTCTACCAGTTTTTGCACCCTGAGGTCCAGTTCACATCAAAATCACTTTAACAGAAATTATACAAGAATCTTCATTCTGTTTCAGTTCATATCCAGTAGGATTTGATCTGTCAAACAAAAAGATACCAGACAACACTGCAGAATGTTACACACACAAAAGGCTCAATCACGATTTGCGACAAGAGACTTGGAAAGTACATGCACAAAGAATCCAATAGCTTCACACTGAGTGAAACACTACCAGGAGAGGGGAATGATCAATGTTAATAATTCCCCTCCAAGCCCTGCCTTTTGCCTGTGGACAATTACAGCACACAGTAAGTGCAGATAATGGACACATCACCCAGCAGGAAATAGCTGCACTTATGTTCCAATCATGAAATATGAACCACCTCGGGGCTAGAGATGGTTTCACCAGATCGCTGAAGAGTTTCTTCTGTCAAGTTTTTGACACTTTGATTTCCTTATAGTATACATTTGTGTACAATATAGAGTACAAGTGGATGATTTTCAAAGTCTCGGAGTATAGACATGATGCAAAAAAAAACCCTGTCAGCAGCCTTTTGGTGACCTCAACTTGCAAAATATCACTGGCCATAAAACCTTTTCAAAAGCTTTAACATAAAAAGGTTACTACTAAATCATGCAAGGTTTGAGCAAGGTCCATTTTGGTCCTTTTGACTGTGAGTACCATTACACTAGTACCTGGCCTTTACATGTACCTCACCTGGGGACAGTCTCAAAAGTTCAACTGTTTAATGCATAGATGAGTGGCTTGATATTAAGACAGTTTATGAAGTAGTAGTAGTAGTAAAGTAGTAAGTAGTAAAGACAATTGAGGGCATTTTTTGTCTGTGTGTCTGCCTGTGTGTGTGTGTTTCTGCCATGTCCATACACAACGCAGTGTTGTCATATATTCTCAGCTGCTTCATTATTATTTGTCTGTTTACCTAGAAGGATAACAAAGGCAGTATGGGTCACCATGGGTAAGGGGTTGAAGTCTGCCATCTCTGATTGCCTTGTTTGAAATAGCTTATTCTTCCCACCAGTTTCAGAGCTACCCAGTAGTATGTAATTAATATGAAAAGATCTACAAATTGATGTGAGCATATTTATCATGGCCTGTAATACAAGTCACAACAAAACCACCTTTTTTTTTTGCAGAAAGGGGTACCATAAATAAACACATTTCTTTTGGAAATGATACAAGAGCATCTGAAACTCTCCCCAGCAACCCAGCCATTAGTGCCAAACAAACCTAACAAGATTGTCCCAAGTACAAATGCAGGCAACCCTCTGGGAGCCATCCGATCCTTATCTACTAGATTTCCCCATTGCTCCCTCTGGTTTATGGGGAAGCAGAATGGCTTGTAGCACCATCAACCATCATCATTCTATCATATTGTTGATATATAGTAAAGCATCGGTGGGAGTCCCTGGCCATCTATGGGCAGATATAATGACTGACATTGTCAAAGGGCCCCACTTTGTTTTAAATCGAAATTCTGTTGCCATTTATCGTTGGTGTCATTACAGCTTCTCATGGGGTGAAAGTTAACTTGGAGTCTTTTGTTCTACATGCCTTCATTTTGTGATTTTATACTTATGGCTGACGTTTTCTCCACATTTACTACCAGGAAGGAACAGTGGCCATCAAAGTGGCAACAATCAGTAAACAGTATCAAATGTATGGGGTAGTGTCTGTATACGTAGCGGGCTCTTGACAGCATTTTGATGCTGATGCATCTCTGATGTTTTTGCTATGCACAGTCATGTATAATGTAAAAAGAAACAGCAAGCACAAAGTGCCGCCTTGAGCCTGCTATGCATGGAATATCATTCTATTGTACCCTGTACAACAAAATGGGAAAATTTACTGTTATTGGCCCCTAGTACTAGTCAAATGTGCAGGGCAGAATAATTCTAGTAAAACTCCTCCCTGTAAACCTGTTCTGGCCTGCGGCATACTCATTACCGCTAACTTAAGACAAGATCCAATTTCTAAGATTAGATCTTTTGTCTTGGGGGGGAGAGTCTAGATGGGATGAGACGGAGATAACATCATCAGGGATTCTCCCAAGTCGTCTTAGTCTTATATCTTAAGATTTGCAACAGAGATAACAAAAAACTTCCATCTCGAAACTCTTAATACACCCTCAAGGTCACCAGACTTTTATGGCACTCACAACATGAGCAATATCTCCAAACATGTATTTCATCCCATCAGATTTATATAAAAGAACTGCTGGTGGAAAACTTTACGACAGGTTTACCGTGATGCATGAAGAGTTGGGATGCCTCCTGGTATGATATAAACACTAATGACATGGACATATTCCACATAGATTTCACTGCGGATGTTAACTCTCCTCAAACAAGCATATTGCTAGGAGCGACATGTCAATCCTGATAAAGCAAGTTGTACTTTATTGTCCTTATTGTTAAAAGTAATAGCAGTACACTCAAGTTTATTTTCCACAAAGGGAATAGAAATATGTTGGCAGCCCAAGGACTGAGTTGTAAAGCTTGGACTGATTCTGAGTTCTTGAAAATATGGAATACACATCACTTCTTAAATTGATGTAAGATTTATAAAACTGGGGATGAATTAAACATAGACTTATCTTGAAAGTTCATCTGTGTTGACTTGTAGAAGTCATTATGAAGCAAGTTTGAACTGTAACACAAGAAATTGGACTTTTAACTGCACAACTCCAGTCTTGTTCATTCTCTGGCAAAGACTGGAGTCAAAAATTGTACAGTCAAAAAATTTGGGAAAATGTAAACAATGAAAGCTGGGGCTACCAAACAGTTCAATAATTACAACTTCAGGGCGTTCAAAGGTTTTAAGATTGTAGGAACAGGGTCATGTACAAATGTATGGCCCAGCCTTTAGTAAAATGCTGAAAGCAAATTCAGCCCAGCGCAAAGCAGTAAAACACAGTGAATTGTAACTTTATTACGAGGAAGAAATTCACAGCTCTGTGAGGTGGAATCTTTACGACATCTTTTACGACCAATTGCCGCCAAAAAGCAGGCTGTTCTGATACCATCACAGCGTGAGAACAACTTGCTGCCAGGGATGAAATATACAGATGATTTAACGTTATGCCCTTGAAGTTATCAACATGGAAAACCTACGCAGTATGATGTAAAAAAAGGGCACTAAAGCACGGATATTCATGACTATGCAGTGTACAATTGTCTCACGTATTCAAGGCATTCAAGTACAACATGTAGCGATTAAATCCAACTTGCACCTGAAAATTGCACTTTCTGGACTTGAGATTTTAATTTGAATATTATGTACTCCCAAAGAAAATCATTCATACTTGGTTACTACGTATGAAAACTAGTAGATATGAATCTCTAGTGCATACTTTTTTACAACTTGGAAAGGCCTTCATCTATAATTATGTAGATCACGTATCTTCAAACTGCTTCTCCATAATCATGTTTCTTTTTGATGCTTGAAAGTTGACCGGGTCAAAAGCCTCTATTGTGGTAATTTGATTTTGTGCCAAGAACTTCTTCATATCTTTACGACTCTCCACTTACACAATCAGAAAAGGCTTTATCTCACAGTAACTGCAGTTATAGTGTTGGATGCATACTGACAGTGATATAACCTTATTAGCAAGGTGTGGGAACAAACTCTTTTATTGAGTTAATGCACAAATTCTTACTATAACACTGATAGTTGTTCTAAACCTCCATGAATAACTTAATCAGGTTGGTGAATGATTGAATAGTAAAGTTCTTTATTCACAACCACTTGTTTAACAGGAGCCGATGTTTCGATGACCGTCTGTCATCTTCATCTACTAGTAGGCAATTATGACCAGTTATGACCGATATGGAACCAGTCATAATTGGCCTGATGAAGATGACAGGCGGTCATCAAAAGGTTGGCTCTCTTTAAAAAAGTTGTTGTGAATAAATAACTTTGATATTCAGTTGTTCAAAAGATTTCCAAAATTGATCTATATTGTATTTTCATCCCATTATTATCGTTATATGTTAGCTGCAATGTTATGCTTATTAGTGAGACATAATTTCATTTTGTTACCATTATTTCAGTGCCAAGAAAGAAATACTGAATTTTGAACTTGAACCATCATTGAAACACCTTCCTTATCATCTAGATCTAAGTTTCAATATTGTAACAGTCCAGGGAATATGAGGATTTCAGAGGGACCCTTATCTGTAAGCACAGAAGTATGAATTATGTGTCTCAGTGTTATCACTACAGCCGTGTGGCAACTATATGACTTTTCTACATATCGCTAGTATCTTCCCTATCTCTGAAAAGAATTGCACACCTATAACAAAACTGAAGCTATGTCTGTACAATCGGGGCTTGAAATGTGCTTTCTTTAATATCTGCACATGTAACATTAAAAATCACCTCTTGCAGCTGACAATTTTTTTTACCATAAATCAAAAAAGTATATGGGTCAAACTGGAAAAAGTGAGAACAAAACTGTAACTTAAAGTTGTAATGTATTTTGCGTTTCATTGGTAGAGAATGTCAATACAGCAAAAAAAGTCTGTGCCTAGTACATATAGAGATTATATGGAGGTAGATACAGTACCTGCATAAATCCAATTTTACCTGACACTACGTACCTGCATATGCAGGTGGTACATGTTCATGTATTTCAAGCCCTGATAGAGATGTGTGGGGTTTTAGATAACAGCTGGTAACTGTTACATGTAAAATTCAAGCATTGCAGGCTCTTGTGTTATCTCAAACTACATGTATGGGTTACATTTAGAAAATGTATATCATCTATTCTTTCCCTCGGTTTGACTGTAACAGTAGTCTTACATGCAGAAAGTGCTGAGCCTGGGGCTAGTACATTAGGGCTAAGCCTTGCCAATGGCTTTCATAAAGCTGCAAGAAATTGTATATCTTGTAGGACACTGAACTCAGCGGAAAAAAAAAAGGCTACCTGAGGTATAACTACACATAACGGTAAATATGCATGTATGTCAAGTAGAGATCATCATCATAGTAAACAATAATGTGGTGTAGTTTAAATGACAGTTAAAGATTATTACAAGATGGTTACTTTACATGTAGGTAAGAAAAGTTGGTGTATATGATAAGAAGCTGGTGTGATACACAAATACACCAAAGGGTAATTATGACCAATTAGTAACCCATTCAGATTCAAGATATGCTCAATGTATAGAACATCAGACTCATTTAGTAAAAACAGCTTTATGATAAGCAAATCTGGATGAAAAGACCTTATTTTTGAAAGGCTTAGACTTTAAGTGATGAGTCAACAAGAAGTTATCTTTAAAATCTCTCTAAAAGCTTAGTTCTGAAGCAAGTTCCATCCCTGATGGAATCCACTAAGCTGCAGTAATGTTCAGCCTGGTGTCATCTGTCTGGACTTGTATGATGGATAATAATGTATCTGCCTCTCCAGTAAGCTTAAAGGTTTGTTGTAAGATGGCTCTGCATGATAGGCTCTCAGATAATGGACCAAAACACTGCAGGGATTGCAGAAATCTCTCTCCTGGAGGCAACTGATGAGACAGAAGATCAAAACCAGGGACTGGATATCTTTTATGACTGATGGGTGAGGATAGGATGGGAGAGGATACCTTGGAGATCATAAGAGGCCTTAAGTGTACCACAATCTGTATAATGTTGTGCAGTTGAGGCAAAGATTCAACATTAACACTGATCGTAAAAGGTTTTTAAAGCATTAAAATGTGTCTTGATTTTATTCAAATATTCAGTGCTTGAAGTCATTATGTTTATGGTATTACATTGTACATACTAGTAGTACAATTTTAAGTAGAATATTTTACGACAACTCAACTTTAGAGGTAAAAAACTTGCCTTTTCTTTTGTTCAAAATGCAAGTAGAATGAAATATGTAATACTTGATAATGTTACACCATGTCCAGTTTCCCCAACTCCTGTTATATTACTTATATCTTGCCTTTGTGACAACATTTTAGCATGCCGATTTTAGACTGCAGAGAATTTGCCCGGCTGGCAAAGTTGGTAATAAAGTTTCAAACTGCATTTACCATGAAATGATATCATAAAGACTTTTCAGATGTTGCTCTACTTGATAAGAAAAGGCCCACCGCTTCAGCACAATTTGTTATGGGTTTTGGTCAGCCCTGTTGGCTCCTATCTGTCCATGCAGTTTGAATGTCTGGATCAACATTTTCCAGATGTTGTAGCCGATATAGCCCTTGGCAAGGTACCAGCCATCCAGGCAGCAGACACATTTGTATGAGACATCTACATCAAGTCGATACCAGAAAATTCTTTACAGATGATATGATTGCTGGTAGCTGTCGTGGCTGAAGATAAGCCTCTCCTGATCAACCGTTCAATCGGCCTGGACAATTGGCTGCAAAATGCGATCGAATTACTGTCATGATAGCAAGTTGAGATGCATTAAATCTTGCTTCATCCATGGATAAATCAAACTTCGGTTGTCTCTGCGCTGATGATGATTTGAGCTACATCAATATTTGATGTTACCCTCTGGTATAATCATTAAGCACCACATTGTGATAGGGCAAAGCAAGTAATGGATGATAAGTGTGAAGGGATGGATCTTTAGAGAATGGAAGAGAGTCTCAGTGGCAAAGTTTCAAAATCTTATCCATACAGCAAAATTAAACCATAATCACACACAATACATCTTAGTGAGTCAACTATAAGTGTAGACAGGATTTGGGTTGGTTTGAGCCCCTCTTTCTAGATACAAGATGAACTTTACTGTTTGTAGGATTACTTGACAATGTACACATATAGATTAAAGGTGCCCTAAGCGATATCAGGGCATTAAAATAGGAAATATTTAGAACAAGACAATCTGTATGGTATTGACACATACCACCAAGTATCAGCACATTTGCATCATTATTTCATACGTTTGGCGTTTGAAGCAGCACAGAAACTAGCCAAGAGACAAGTTGCTTGATTTATCGGGGCCTCCATTTAATCGGCCCAAAAATCCACCAAGTAACCGTTTCCCGTCGACAATTTTCGGGAACTTCCGCGAAAAATGGAACGCGCTGCCTTGGTTCCATGGATCGAACGCAAGAGTTCGAAACCGATTGACTTCAAATTTGACGATTTTTGAATGGTCAGAACCTTGTATTCAATTCCTCTTTTTGTATATACTTGAATGTTATCATAACACTTATTATATCGCATGTGGTAGCCACATTCATACAGTTTCTCATACCAACGGAAACGAATTTTATGACATTACGCGAAATGTATCAATATGTAGCGGAAACTCAGGATGACCTGCAGTTCGACTGATTCAGCGCGTTCGTGG